GTTTCTAGTATGGTGAGACTATATTAGTTTCTAGTATGGTGAGACTATATTAGTTTCTAGTAATGGTGAGACTATTGTGTTGTGATGAGTGAATAAAAGAAACTTAAGAAAAAGAAGAAAACATTCTATGAATATATTATCCCTAAAAAACTACCAAGACGTTGTGTGTGTATGTATGTATATATTTGTCTTCTAATATCTAATTTTGATGCTTGACTTATAGCATATTATCTAAGTTTAGGGTTTCTTAATTACTTTATGTCATGTGGCGAATACGTTTAACTGCATGAGCTTCTCTATGGCTCAGGGGTCAGTCTGAGGGCTTATAAGGCTAAAAATTGGGTTTCGATACTCGTGGTGGACGAAAGCACAGATTACCCATTGTGTAACTTCGTGCTTAAAAAAATACCTGCGTGATCATCAAAAAATTCTCTTGTTTCCTAGTGTATCATTAAAATATTAGGCGTGATTATTTTCGTTTTTATAGAAATTGGATTTGTTTCTCTCTGTTTGGCAACTGCAGTGTTGGAGAGATATATATATAATTAGCAACTATATCAGGACTATACGTCTTTCTTTTTTTTTCTTCGCTGATAAGTCGTGTTGAGTTTGATGGTTTCAGTCGAGTTTGTTAGCGTGTAACAGCTAAAGATAAAGGGTACTTTAGCTGCAATATAACAGTGTTACTAAAACTGTGATATTAAAAAGGTTTTACATTAACACAGAGAAAAAGCTTTCGCCGAAAACGTCGTGTAATAAACGATTTTGTGGGCGTGTTGGAATACTCCCTCATTAAACATAAGAATTGATTCCAAAAAACAAAATTTAATTCTCCCAATTAGAGAAACAAATATAAACTATAATTTGAAAATAACATATTTATCATTAAAAAGTTACAATGGATTAAAAAAAACGTAATTTTGTAGGATAACCCGGCCATTTATATGATATCAGGTCGTGTGTTCATTATTTAAGAAATAAGTTGTACTGTGGGTTTTATTTTAATTTTAATTTTTTGCTCTTTTTAATATTATTTCCTATATATATATATATTTGTAAGTGCAATTATTTTATTGGTAATATGGTTGCTATCTTTAACAATTTATTATCACTCAATTTACGTAAACAGTTTTATATTACGACTTTTGTTTAAAGATTATTATCCCATTATATAACTTAATAAGTACATATATATATTTATTTCTGAGAGTTGATAATCGCACGTGTTTAGTTGTGTTAATATCTTTGTTTCTAGCCACCAGTACTTACAAGGGAACAATCGTTATAATTGAAGAACCTACTGTAGACGATAGCGTAAGAGCATTTGCAGAAAGTGTTGATTCAACCAGGAATAAAGTAAAAGATAAAATCGAAGAAAGTGTAAGCTGAATATTTTTTATATAACCACAGCAAACGAAAACTAATATATATATATATATATATGAATGGTTAAGAAAACATCCGTTAATAGTTCATTAAACGCTATTGTTAATTTCATCTTGCACATACTGTAAGGGTGATAAGAATATTGTTAACATTGGGCCTCTGATGGACTTTTTTTGACTGGAGTCACGTGGTAGACAACGTTTAGGTCTCTACACTGAAATCTCCAACATAGACAATGAGGCGTCGTCCACCACAAGACTCCTAGCAAAAACGCTTTATTAAAAAAGTATATTTTATTAGAGCACATTCTGCGTTAAACTAAAAACGATATATTATGAGTAAGTCTTTTAACTTAGTACAGCACATTCTGCCAAGCCATCCTTAAACTAAGAACAAAATATTATGTTAAGGAAGTATTATGAGTAAATCTTTTAACGTTAGTACAGCACATTCTACCAAGCCTTCCTTAAACTAAGAACAAAATATTATGTTAAGGAAGTATTATGAGTAAATCTTTTAACGTTAGTACAACACATTCTACCAAGCCTTCCTTAAACTAAGAACAAAATATTATGTTAAGGAAGTATTATGAGTAAATCTTTTAACGTTAGTACAACACATTCTACCAAGCCTTCCTTAAACTAAGAACAAAATATTATGTTAAGGAAGTATTATGAGTAAATCTTTTAACGTTAGTACAACACATTCTACCAAGCCTTCCTTAAACTAAGAACAAAATATTATGTTAAGGAAGTATTATGAGTAAATCTTTTAACGTTAGTACAACACATTCTACCAAGCCTTCCTTAAACTTAGAACAAAATATTATGTTAAGGAAGTATTATGAGTAAATCTTTTAACGTTAGTACAACACATTCTACCAAGCCTTCCTTAAACTTAGAACAAAATATTATGTTAAGGAAG